GTGTCTGTGCTTGCTTTTGCACTGATGGTGCTCCACTGAGGGGGAGGAGGTGCATTGAAATCGTGTCTGTGTGTGGCGATTATCCACCACATGGAAGAGGATTATTATTTTTTCTTCTTTCACTTTCTTTTCCCGTGAAGAAAGGAGACACTACAGCTGCTAATATATATATACAACCACCTGCATACGAAATTCCTTCCCTCCTTTTCTGTTGCCCTCCACATGCTGGTGGCCGTCCTGCGTGTGCATGCCGGTTTTTTTTTTTTTTTTTTTGGGGGGGGGGGGCGGGGTGTTCTCCGTCCGGAGAGCAAATTACTATTATTATTCTTATTATTATTTTCTTTTGCGGTTTCTTTAATTTTTATTATTATTGGGGTTTGCTGTTGTTTTTATTTTTCATTTTTTAGGTTTTTCTTTGAGTACTTGTTTTTTACTTTTTTTTTTTTTTCCACGGAGTTGTGTTGTGTCAAATACTCTCTTTTATGTTCTCTGTGTGTTACGTGACGACGCCTTCGATGGAGGTGGCACGCGAGCTGTCGAAGCAGCTGGTCATGGGCAAGAAGGCGGCATGCGTGAACATCATCCCCGTCATTCAATCCGTCTATCAGTGGGAGGGCCGCCTGCAGGAGGAGAGCGAGTGCCTCATGATGATAAAAACACGGGCTTCACTTATCGAGGAGGTGGTTGCGGACGTGAAGCGACATCACCCGTACGACGTCCCGGAGATCATCAGCGTGCCAATGGGGCCCGGCAGCGAGGATTACCTCAAGTGGGTTGCGGACAGCACGACGCCGAGTTGAACACTCGCGGTTGATACGTGATTGGGTGGGTGAGTTGGAAGAAGAAGAAACAAAAAAAAAAAAAAAAGGGAAAAAAGACGAATATTGTTATTGGGTTGAGTCAGTGTTTCTTCCAAATGCTGCGTATTCACATCTTCCCCCCATTTCCTTGTATGTATCTGGGTGTCATGGTAGTGGTTGGAAAGGATGCTTCTTTTCCTTTAATATACACATATATATATATATATATATCTTTTCTTTTTCCTTTCTGCTTCTCTCTTTTTTTTTTTTTTTTTTCCCTTCTGCTTCTATAATGACATTACGGCACGTGAATCAGGGAGGAGATAATAAGAGCGATTGTGGCTGCCGATTGAGTAGGGATTCTGCACGTTGCATCTGTGGCCGAAGGAATTTACGCAGAGGAGTAGAGACGCATCAACACGGCTGTGGGAACGACTTGGATGACAAACACGCCCATTGTGAATCACTTTTACGTGCAGAGCGACTTGGCGGTGCCCGTTCCCATGCTCTTTACACCAAATCTGTCAATGGAAAGCGTGTCACTGAGCCAACCGAAAGACACATCTGAAATGCGTGGAAAACGAGGGCGGGAATTGGCGCCAAGTGGGTATCATGTCAACAGAATTGCCGTACGAACTGCAGGCCACACTCCGGGAAGTAAAAATTTTCATGACGATAGTAGAGCCGTGAATCCGTATGAACTGAGCCATCAAGGCCTTGTGCGGCCCATATCCAAAGAGGAAGAGCAGTCCCTCTTGAACGAGTCTATAGAATACTACAGGAGCACAAAACTTGCACGGAAGGAGCCATTGAACATCAATAAAGGGGACGGCGTTTCTTCAGAGGATAATACCGCTATGCTGCGCACAGAACTGAGACGGATGCAGGATCAGTATGATCATTTAAGCAAACTTGTGGAGGAGACACGGGCAGAGTTGCAACGAAGTCGTGAGGCAATTGAACATTCCCAAGAAGGTGCGCGTTGTTTTGTTGGTGACCTGCGAGTAGAAGTGGCGGAACTCAGAAAACATGTGCAGCTGATGGATGGAAGGCAGTCTTCGATGGAGGGTGCCGTCGGATCTCTCAAAGGGCTTCAGACTCTCGTAGAAACCTTCCGCGGCGATGTCAACACCTTGCGAAACGAAGTGGGTCAGACGTCCACGGCCGTTGCTCTTTTAGAGAAGTCCATAGAAGATGTAAAGAGACACCCTCATGCCCACCCACAGGCGTTGGAATTGCCGCCGTTCAGTCGTCCCCCCGCGAATGCCAACACCACCACCACCACCACGACGGACACGACGAATAAGGCACCCGCCACAGATGCTTCATCGGCGCCAAAGCAGTCTTTTACATTTGGTGGCAATTCTGTAGCCCCAACAGCCTCGACTGGGGCGGGGGTTGAACCGGCGATGAAAGTGGAACACACTTCTGCAAGGCCTTCCACGGAGAAGAAGAATCCCTTTTCGTTCGGCGGAAATTTGGCAAGTGAGACGCCTGCGACTGGAACGACTTCAATGCCAAAAAATCCGTTTTCATTTGGCGCATCTTCTGGGAGTTCAACGGAGGCAAGCACTTCCGGCCTTGGCGGTACAATGAATGTGGTTGAGCCCACCAAAGGAGGGGTGGCGACAGCAGAAACAACGACGGCCAACAATTCTTCTAGTAATGGTGGCAATCCATCAGCTTCCTCCTTTAATAACATGTCTTCTGGATTTGGCAATGAGTTTTCTGCCAAACAGGGGTTTGGATTTCCAACTGTTTCCGCCGCGCCGTCGGATGCATGGCAGACACCTGCGGTTCCTTCTTTCTCCTCCGCTGGCTCCAATCCCTTTAGTGTACCTTCAGGGCCGGGCGCCTTTACTACTCCTGCCAGTGCTCCTTTACCAAACTTTCCGTCTTCGTTTGGTTCGGCCGGTGTTGATTCCGCTGCGGGGCCAAATCCGTTTGCCGCGCCGTCGTACAATGACGCCCCCTCTGGGGCCTTTGGTGGAGGAGGCTTGCAGTCCGTTCCAGGCGTTCCCTCCGGCGTCTCCAATCCCACGGGCACATTGTCGTTTGCTCAGCCCATAACTTCCAGGGTATCATTTGCTACGGATGCGGGGCCGAGTGGTGGAGCAGAGTCGTCCAACCTTCTTGGCTCTCACCAACGGAAAAAGATGCCGCGCAGATATTAAATCCGTGTGTATCGAGAGTGGGGGGCGGTCCTTGGCAACATGGGTACGTGCATGTGGTACACGTCTGTTCGGGGGGCAAGTCTTTTCCTTGGGTCAGTCCAGTGATGTTGTAGGAAGAGAAGGAAAGGGGGAATAGAATGAGTTAAAAGATATATATATAAATATATATATATATGCAGGGATGTTTTGTGTGAAACGAAAGAATTGCGGTCTGTCAACGGAGCTGGAGGAGAAAGAAAAAGGAAGAGGAAAAAGACAAATGCAACGAGAATAATGGAGAAAATGTATGACTGAAGGAGAAGCGAAAAATAAATAATTCAATAAATTTATTCCCGCTTTTGTGGATGGTGTTGTGGTGTGCGGGATCCAACGCCGCTCTTCCAGACGACGATATGGGCGGAAGACGAGCACGCAGCTTCGATGGGCGGCATGTTTTTTTTTATTATTTCAACAACGGACGTCTTTCATGGATGAATACACCTTGCAGCCGGCATGTTACTTTTCTCTTTTTTACTGATTTGTTTCGTTGCCGTGTACGTGCGTTTACCGTCACTTTCTTTTATTTATTATTATTATTTTTTTTTTTTTGTGTTTTTTCAGTGTTTTTTTTCCACCCGCAGAATTACACGTCTGCACAGCAGGCAGAAAAGGAGGGAGGGGGGAGACGAGTGGAAGGCAGGGAGGAGGACTCACGTCACTGCACCCTTTTTGGGTAGTGCTGCTGCGGCCGCGACACGTTCAAGATGCATGTGGCTGTCGTTGCGTGTTGGAGGACGCAGCGCCCTCCACTCGCACGGCTCACCCCAATCGCAGCTGCGAGGGGCATTTCGTCAACATCGACACGGCATGCATCCGAAGCAGGGGATGTGCCTTCCGCCGCTCAACCAGCCGATCGTGCGGCCACGATTCACGAGATGGGGAAGGACTCCCCAATCGCAGCCACGATGCAAGCGGGCGGCGAGCCAGTCGATTTCCGTCAAACCGCCATTCCCAAGCGGCCCTCGGGACTAAAAGCAACGGATGTGCTGACACCGCATCTTTTGTCCACTGCCGCCGAATCACCGGTACAGTTGCAAAAAAGAACACAGTTTTCGTTTCTTGGCGATCCAAAAGACCGCTCCGCCCGCAGTGTGTTTTCTGTCCACACGGTTCCGAACAACATGCCGAAGCCGTTGCTTCCCATGTGGGCGTCCAGCCTCACTTCACCCCAGCTGGGAAAGCAGCGTCTACGTGTCGAAAACTGGATCTCCACGGACAGTATGGGGACGCTGCCTGAGGAGCATGTTGTGGAATTTTTGACTTGGCTGCGAGGACGATGCACCTCCTCCCTATATGCTTTTTTTCTACAGCAGATGGAGGAGAATATTGAATTTTACTTACGGACACAATACACACGCGGTTTAATCGCACGCAAGGGATTTAAGGCGGGAGATGTGATTTTGGCAGTTCCCCTTACCGATGCGTCTACTGATTACGACGATTTCGATGGGGAATCTGTTAACTCTGCCACGCATGCTTTGGCTCCATGGGGTCTTGTCCTGAATTCCGAGACTCTTCAGCGTCATTCGTTGGCTGCGCAACGCCGCGGGGTTCCTTCCTATGCGACAATAGAGTCCATTGTGGGTTTAAGAAAGACCGCATTTGATCCCGTACCGCACCCTTTGTTTGTGGATCAGGTGCATTGCGCGATGTTTCTTGCCTGCGAGAGGGCAGAAGGACCGTGCAGCCCACTCTATCCGTATCTGCGACTTATTTCCCCATTTGATGATGATTTTATTCGCGAGCTTCACCACGGTGTCTTGGACCCAGCGACGCACCTGGAGTACAGCGATCACTGTGGGCGTTACTCGCACTGGTTGCGACAGATTCATCAAAAGTGGTTAAAGGAGCACGAAATTGCGCAGATGATTGAAGCAACATGCCCGTCATTTCCTGATTCTACGGCCAGCGGTTCACATGAGTACCGAGAGGACCTAAAGGCATTTTCTCACGACGGCAACGGCCAATATCGACAGCCACCCCCTTCTATGGAGGATCTGACTTGGGCCTTTCGCTTTGTATTGTCACGTCAGCGCTTTTTTCCCATAAGAAAGAACGTGGAACCGTTTGAACGCATTTGTACGGAGCGCAAACGGATGCAAGTAGAGGAGGACGCATGGACACGCCTTGTCAGCAGTGTTAGATGGACTCTCCTGGATCGCGTTTTTGGTGTGATTGATCATAAACGTGCCGCTGTGAATGAATTTGATCCTCACACCATTGCGTCTGTGGTGCCGGTGCTGGACATGCTGCAGCATCCCCCAGGTGGGGTGGCCAACACGGAGGTGACCGTAGAATTTCCGCCTGCCGCGGAGCATGAGGGAACTGCGGGACGTGGAACCCGCTGCGCTGTTATTCGGGCCGTGGAGGACATTGAAGAGGGCGACGAACTCACCGCACTGCTCCCAAAGTGTTACTCCCTTTCGTACACGTTGTACCGCTTTGGATTTTTGCCGCTGCGACGTCGTGTAGATGACGCCGCGGCAATTTCAGGAGAATTTCTTGACGCACATGCGAGCACCCCGGCCGAGAGACCCCGCATTGCTCTCCCGAAAGGCCGGAACGCAGGCAATGTATACAGGCGTGGGGCAATTTGGCGTCCCTGGCGCAATGAGCCGCCCGCAAGAGTGAAGGGGGGCCCATTTGATTTTACGCCCAAAACATGAACGACCGTAAGAAAAACAAAACAAAACAAAAACAAGACATGAAAGAAACGGTGTTTTTTTATTTTGAATTGCAATTTTATCGTTTTTGCCGAATGTTTCAATAAATAAACAAAATCTGTTTTTTTTTTTTTATTTTCTTCTTTTTTGCCCCCCCTCCCCCCAGTTGATCACAGGAAGAACAATAATAAGAAAGAGAAGAAGGCTTACTTTTGTTGGTATTGTTGTTTCTTGCAGCTTAAAATACTTTTATTATGTGTGGACTTTGACATTTTTATTTATTTATTTATTTATTTATTTATGTCGATGACTTTATGGCCCTCTTTGTATTCACATTTATTTTAAATGAATGGACTCAAAGGAAATATTTGTTTCTTAACGGATTTTATTTTTTATTTTTTATTTTTCTTTTCGTACATGCGTCACGAGGAGATTCAAATGATTGGAATGCCTCCGGAGGAGCTCCCCACAAAATTGCGTATGGGCTGGAGTTGCATGCGCCCTTATAATTTTTATGGAGAACACTCACGGAGACACACAAATACGAGTGAAGCACGTCGGTGTAAACTTTCAAACGTTTTACGGCTATTGGACCAACACAACTTTTCTCTCTATTCTGCCAGT